ACAGATTAGTGCGCGGAACTTTTCTCCGGTACGGACCACCTACAAGGAATGGGCAAAGGGGCACAAAAAGTGTAGCAGTGAAAAAGTGAAAAGCACATGTGTATAGGCAGCAACGCTACTATGCTGGGCAATTAAAATGGAGGCATCTCCATTTTGGAGAGACCCATGTCTGCACTTTGCACTTTTCACACATTTGCGCCACTCTGCGCCATCTTTTGTTATTTCATTTTTCCTACATGAAGTCCGTAAAAAAAAACGGGAAGCATATCACACAGGTAATTATAAAAGGGGAAAAGGCATCCAGCCTAACGTCCACCTGGGGGAAGAAAAGGGGAAGGAGTGAGTCGGCATGGGAGGCCAAATGGAAATAAGCTGGCCATATGGAAATGAGCTAGCCCAATGGGAATATGCTAGCCAAAATGGGAAAAAAAAAAAAAAAAAAATCCCAAATTAATATGACTCGTTCATATATTTTTTTTTTTTTTTGCAACGCTCCCACGCCTTACATATTGTGCCAACTTGTATCTGCTGGGGGGTAGGGGGACCTTCATGCCGTTGTACAACAAGTGCGCGATGAAGTTCATGTTTTGCGGATTTGCTGAAAAATCATTCTTCCCCAGCATAAATGAGTAGCTGCTGTTGTAGTCAAACTTCCGGTCGGCCCTCTTGATTCCTTTTATGTCCATGGGCTTCAAGTAGGGGCAGTACTTAAACTGGGGGTTGCCTTTGTCCAGAATTTCCCCCACGGTCTGCGTTCCCATCTGGCTACTCACATTGTTAGAGGCCACATTCTTATGCTTGTTTGTGTTAAACTTTAGTATGTTTCCGAGCACCTGTAAAAAAAAAAAAAAAGGACATTCATTGTCGCATAGGTGAGGTGTGTGCTCCATTTCTGCGTGTCCTCTTGAGTGGCCATCGAAACGGGTGATGTTTCCTGTCCCCATGGCGCAGGCCAAGTGTTAAACAAAAAAAAAAAAAAAAGAGGAGGCACACGACGCAGCTCACGTCCACCGTGCTGCACACACGCCGTGCATCAGGGAAAAGATACTTAAAATGCGAAACGCGCGGCAACAGATTAGTGCGCGGAACTTTTCTCCGGTACGGACCACCTACAAGGAATGGGCAAAGGGGCACAAAAAGTGTAGCAGTGAAAAAGTGAAAAGCACATGTGTATAGGCAGCAACGCTACTATGCTGGGCAATTAAAATGGAGGCATCTCCATTTTGGAGAGACCCATGTCTGCACTTTGCACTTTTCACACATTTGCGCCACTCTGCGCCATCTTTTGTTATTTCATTTTTCCTACATGAAGTCCGTAAAAAAAAACGGGAAGCATATCACACAGGTAATTATAAAAGGGGAAAAGGCATCCAGCCTAACGTCCACCTGGGGGAAGAAAAGGGGAAGGAGTGAGTCGGCATGGGAGGCCAAATGGAAATAAGCTGGCCATATGGAAATGAGCTAGCCCAATGGGAATATGCTAGCCA